TCGTGTAGCCTTTCTTTCATCCCTATTCTCCATGTGGGCTTCTACGAAACTTCTGTGTCTGTACGCTTTCAGTGCAGCTGGTGATGCAGATACCTATACGGGCCACTCGTTGCAAATCTACAAGCAAGTGCGACATCCTTGGCGTATTAAAGAACACCCCTACTGCCGGAACGAATCGATTCCACATCACCAAAATTATACTTGGGATTCCTATTTTGACTACCTCATTAGCTCTGGTGCTAACTTACAGCTGGGTGGATATAAGATCAACGATGAAAGCAAAATCAAGATGCGCATCTACGGCCCTTGGAGCAAAACCGGCTTCAAAGCTCTGAGGGAACGAGCGGATGCGGCCGGCAAAGTGATAATCGCACAGCTGGATACGTTTCTCGAAGGATCCTTCGACAAGGCTTCTTTCATAAAGAGTGTCAAAGAGTTCAGAAAGGACTATCCTGTTGACGGTTTCAATGTGGGCTTTAGAGATTCCGATCCCAGTAGATACCAAGTTGGGAAGGAACTTGTCGTGGCTATTAAAGAGCTCAACCTACGGGTGTCGTTATGGTGAGTCAACAAATACCTCGGAGCAGGAGAATCCTAGTGTGATCACTGGTTTTAGCAGTTGCTTCATCATGTTAGGTTGACAAAGGATGATTATCATGCGCAGGAATTCAAACAAACCGGCATAGGGAAGATGGTTGATAGTGTCGCTGTTTTTGCCTCTCCACGTGACACGGATGAGTCCATAGAAAACTTCAATACGGGCCGTTTCGCCGAGGATATGATCAAAGATGTCGCAAAGCTGGTGTAGATCGCAATAAGCAGATTTTATTCGTAAGTGTACACGACTCCTACAATCTTCAGTACCTTGCTGGCAGCAAGTTGCTGCTTTTCTGCGATAGAGAGTTTTTTTGGAATCACCTCGTGCATTGTTGGCGCGTTCGCTGAAACGGACCTCATACCTACTGTGTGGCGTGAATTTCACGCCGCGAAATCCAGTGTTGCTTTTTAGATAGTACCAATCGCTTGGGGAACCTCCTCTATGCGGGCATTAACATACTCGAGTCTAATCTGCGAATATGGTGTGGACCCCAGGGGCAACGTATCATTCATCTTTCCGGATGGGAGCGGCTACTATTTCTTTTCACAAACTCGTGTAATCGAGGACGGTGACCTGGCCAAGAAGTACGGACTGCACGGCATTGGACTATATGGCAACGATTTTCTCGAGGGTGGTGATCTGTACCCTTGGGACACAGACTCCTTGTATCACGCTATGGTTCAACTCGCGGATGATCCCTCACAGAGCAGTAGGCAGGTATTTCTAAGGGACGTCTCTGAGAAGTAGCCTCTCAAGCTGAGCTCTTATTACATTTCACTTTAATGTCTAGTGGGAGGGTGTGTCCACGACCTTGGATGCATGAGACGTGATCATGCAATGACAGCTGCTGATGGTCACTAATCATTTTTCTTTTCGCCTTTTTCACATCGAACTGCCGCCAGCTCGACAACACTTCGGCCCATTATATCGCTTATTACGGAAGAAAGCTTTACTTCCCGCGAGGGATGTACTTGAGTTGGAAAGTTGAGAAAGAGTTGAGATACAGTTTCTCAGAAATTGTTGCGGCGCTACTGCTTCATTAACCGGTATATTCAATTCACCAGATTCGGCGATCGGCCTGATTTTCGGACCACTCGTACTCGGAATGTCTACGATTTGGACCCAAAGTGCTTCAATGAGTTCTAGCAGAGAAGTCGCTACTCAGTAGATAGACAAAGTCGTCTCTTTATCAGAGAGTCGACTGAGGAGACTTGCTGCTAGCGGCAGAGAGTAAACTATTCTCGTGGCAATCACGAAGTCGCTCGCCCAAAGATGAAAGTTTTTCCTGCGAGGAAATTCCTGGGGCCGTATACGGATACTGATTCATGAATCTCAGTCCATGATTCAACTTACCCACTGATTCACGCCTCAACTCACACTCAGCTGAGGAAGGCGATTCGCTTCGAGCGAACATATATTCCCACTCCAGTACTGTATAGGAAACTCTTGAACTCAGCTGAACAAAGCGAACATATATTCCTACTCCAGTACTGTATAGGAAACTCCTGAAGTCAGCTAAAAGAAGCGAGCATATATTCCAACTCTAACACTGATCCATATAGTTGTGGATACTTCCTTATTATGTGTGTATCGATCTGCATTGGGAAAAACGACGGTCTCGAAAATTGTGAGCATTCTCATCAAAATGCCCGGCAGAGCCCTCCAGTACGCTGACGTGATTGATACACCGCGAGAAAGAAGTGCCTCGGAACTAGGACTCATGCTTTGATTTTTGTTCGAATGATGCAGTAGTATCGCAAGGAAGAACATCATTGATCCCGAAACTCCGACAGCTCCCACGATCGAAGTTATATCCGAGAGAAAAGTGAACATAACGGAAAAGATGTAGGCCACTGCGAATCGCAGTGGCTCACGGTTTTTTCACTGTGAAAAACCGTGTGCGGGAATCGTGGGGCTCCGCCGAGTACTTGCTAAAAGGATGTGACGGATGGGGTGAACAGGGGCGGTATGCGGATACTGATTCGAGAATCACAGGCACTGATTCAACTCACTATCTGATTTCCGATTTTGATTCAACTCACACCATGATTCACAAGTGTTGATTCAGATCCCGTATTCATGAGTAAGATTCATGATTTGTGAGTATGATTCATGATTCGTGAGTATGATTACTGGTTCCAGATTCAGATTCAGGATTCGCGAGTACGATTCCTGATTCTTGATTTCTCTCGAGCGCTGATTTCGATTCTTGATTCAGAATCATGATTCCTGATTCAGAATGTGTGCTCATGATGGATGGTCTTGAGCCGATCCATTCAGCTTTCTCAATAGCTAATAGTTGAGCACGTAAACTCAGGTGGCTTTTGCGCTCGCCTAAATCGCGCCGCTTCCGTCAATGTTTTGTCCCTCTCCTCACGTCGAAAGACTAATACAATGTACGTGCGCGGCGACCCAAGGTGTCCTCGTGCGAATGCACTTCTCTGTGCAGCACGTTGGGGGGGGGGGCAACGAGGTCGTGACCTGGGTACTGGCACCGCAACGTTGGTCCCCATCGTGTTGTGAGTGCGGTGATGTGTTGTTCCCAGGGCTCGGTCCCCCCCGGTGCTCGTAGTGATCCTAGGGCAGTGTGGGCGATAGTGTTAACCCCTAGGCCTTGACTCAACACATCGGGTGCGTTGACAACGAAGAGAGAAAATATGATCAATGGTGTTTTTGCAATGAGATGTAATGGAATTTCGAAAGGGGATTATGCCAGCCACCGGAGAAGTCAATAAGAGCGTTGGGGGCACCAGCGTCGTAGAGGTCTTGTGTATGACCTCGGCGGAGAGAGTGTGAGGAGTAGGATTTCCCGTTTGCTACTCCAGCATCATGTAGGCAGGTCTTGAGATGGCGGTTGAAGGCAGAGAGAGAGATGGGTTGGTTGAGTTGGGCGACCAAGGAGGCTGCTCGGACTGGGCAAAGCATTCGGCCCCAAGTGGTGCACGTGCACCTCCGAGTTAGATGACAGGGCTGAGGAGAGTTTTTCCTGTGTCGAAGATGAAAGTGACAGAGATCGTCGTCGACTGTGATGTAGTAGTTAGTAGGATCAAGGAGTTCAGAAGGCGCACGAAGGCTGAAGCAGTATGCCAGAACCAGCGGGGCTTGGAATAGTAGTAAGCGTTTAGAGCACGCTATAGTCGAGACCGTATATAATAGTCGGCGGGAGAGGAAGGCCTTGTCTCTCTTGGAGCTGAGTTTCCGTCTTCGTGCACCGTGATTGATGATTGCGATCAGGGGGTTAGAGAATTGTAGAGGGAGTTGTAGGGTGTTGTGTACCTTGGTGAGGGCCGGAAGAAATGATGGGTGGCAACCAAGAGCGATAAAGGTACGTACGCTAGCTGCTGAGGCCGGGATGGAGGGGAGAAGAGGGAACTGACTTCAATGCCAACGAATGAAGCGAGTGATGCAACACCTGTAGGTCTTCCAAGTGGACGCTGACAAGTGAGCATTGATGCTTTGCTGGAGGGGATCGGGGTAGATGCGAATGTTATTGAGCCAGAGCATACAACGAGTCTCAGGGGATGAGAGGAGAATACTTAGCTTGATGAGGGTGCCTGAGTGGAGATTGAGTGGTCGCCATAGATGGAGCTGATGCCAAGACGAGATTGGCCCGTTGAGGATGGCATTGATGAGGAGTTGTGGATGCTTTATCACATGCCGAATGACGAGTGATACTTCGGCGATGAATGACATCTGAGCAATATATCACTGCGGAGGGATAGAGTATACGGAGCGCAACATTGATGTGGGATTGAAAGAAGATAAGGGTACAAGAGGTGGTTGAAGTGTTGCAGATCAATGTGGTAGACTGTAGTAAGTCATAAGACATCTAATGTCCACTGCGGTAATGAGATGGGGATAGACTTTGCGTCTTCTAACCATGGCTAATCAAAGTCATGACGACTGACAGAGTCTGCTGGGTTCAGAGAAGAACTCACACGACTGATGAAAACGTTGTATATGGGTAAGTTGGCAACGTTCAACCAAAACAGGGAGGCTGCATGGTTGAGTTGGGAAGAAGAGCTTGAACCCGTGTAGATGAGAGATTCAGCGACGGTGTTGTCTAGGAAGAGTATGATGAAAGCCGTTCCAGGTCGAGTAGTCGCAGAGAGTGTGTGAACTGCGATGGCACCTGCATTGCAGGTCCTGCAAGGAGCTCAAGGAGATTGATGTGAGGCTTTGAAGAAGTGTAGTGTTGGGCGATGTTTACGAAACCGTAAACCGCTTGGTGTGGAGCAGATGGAGGTGAGAAGAATCCCAAGTTGCCGTCGCCGGTAGCATCAGCATAGCATATTAATCGTTGAGGTGTGAGACGTAGTTCACTGACGAGGTTCCTGGTGAAGATGATGGGGTTGTGGAGGATATAGAGGAGAGACTCGATACTAGCCACGAGAGCGGCATCGGGCATGTGTAGGCCGAGTGACGACCGAATGAGGGAACGGATGAAACCACGTCCACTGGACGTCGTTTAGCCTTGCCTAGGAAGGCCTCGGCGGCGAAGGTCAGTTTCCCGGCCAGTTTTGAAGAGATCTTCGCTCTTCTGGTTTTAATGTCGGTGAGACTGGAAATGAGTCGATGACGTCGAGACTCGTCGAGCGTGATAAAGAAGCCACCATGGCTGAGGTCAATGATGAGACCAAGTAGCAGATTCGAGGAGGCTGGAGGTATGTCCTTGGTGTGTTTGATACGGGCACCTGTACAATATTCCATAATGAACTCTATGCCGGAACAAGCAGATGTACTGAGTTGAGGAGGGCCAAGGGCAAAGAAATCGTCAAGATAACTGAAGGCATTGATGAAAAGAAGGGAGCGGCAGAGGTGAGCATGTAGTTCGCTGACCCGGAGGAAATTTGTGACGCTACCAATGGCTCCGAAAGTGAGCACCAGGGGAATGACGATTGAAGGTTCAAGCGTTTCCGAGAGGAAGATACCGGCAGAGTAGAGAGAGTCTTCAGGTTGCATTTTTACCTGACGATATGCCCCCTCCAAATCAGTGCGTGAAAGATGTTTGGTAGAGTCTCCAAGGAGAGATGATGCTAGTGCAACATGGGCTAGTCTAGGCATGGAGACTTTGTGGTAGGTAGTAGAGAAGTGGTTAAAGGAGTAACCGGACTTGCCGTGTAGACCACCGCCATTCACCCGATAGGAGTAGTTTGAGATGAGCTGTATCTTGTCGGATTGTCGGATGGGGAAGACTGGAGAGCAGAATT